TGCCTACTGCTAACAGAATGGTGTAGCAAGTACAATATTATTGATCGAGTCTTTGTAGTAGTTAACACTTGCAGATTCCACAGAATGTCAAGCATGAAACTGTAAATTTTATTTCTTTGAAGGAATATTAACAATTCTCATACTGTGGATGACATTAAGGTATCTGTTATTACTTGGAAAGCCCAAGCAAATTAAACCTTGTAATGTTTTCATGAAATGGATAGTTGGAAAAATGTTTCAGGGGGTGAATAGGGCCACAAATAAAATTAAATGTTTTTTTCCAGGTCACTCAGTAGATATATGGTAAAAGTAAGTGCTGGACTGAAATATCTTTCTTTGAATTGCTAGTCCTGTTTCTGTATAAATCCCAATGAAAAATAACCCTCAATATTCTAAATTTGGCCCCAAAATCACTAGTCAAGCTGAATTAAGACTCACCTCAACAAAACAGCAGCAATGTCATCTCCTCCAAATACTGAAAGCACACATCCCTTGATGATAGCCTGTCAGAACTGCTCAGCACTTTGCTTCAAATGCTTGAAAGGTATCTTCTAAATGATTTTCTAAATAATACTTTCTGTAATTTTAACTTTGATCATAATTTAGAAAAATTGCTAAAGCAAAGTGCTGTTTATGGCTTTTTCCTTTTGAAAGGTTGAAGTGTAAAATGGTATATTGATATTTTTCTTCCATGAGCTTTATCTCGCTAGGTATGAAAATCTTTCAGCAAAACCTGTGGTTTTGTGGTATTTGAGGTATCTTTACCCCTCTTCCTTTTTTGTTGTTCTGCTGTGATGCTATAGTGCAACAAATAAATATCAGTCTGTGTTTGCTATTATGCCCTGCAGCTGCTTTTCGGAAAAACTGTAAGGAGAAAAATAACTTGGATGATTGCAAAAGCCAGTTCATAGTCAGGAGAGTCCTGATTCTCTGCTTATTTTTCCACAGGCCTCCAGAATTGGCATCAAAGTATGCAAATTTCTCTGAGGGAGTGTGCAAGCCAGGCTATGCATCAGCGCTCATGACTGTCATCTTCCCAAAGTAAGTAATTACTGTGGGGGTTTTCCCTCCACTTCCCCTGGTGACTTCTCATCCTTCAAGGTGGGTGATCTGCAGAGTTTGGCTTGAAAAGTGTTGTCACTCTGTCACTTTATTGGTTCAAGGGGAGACCAGTGTGGCAATTCTGGCTATTTGAGTGGTCAGTGATAATGGCTTAATTGACTTCAGTGTGACTAGGAGTTTGCTGAAAGAGTAGAGAGTTCTGGGTGTTGAGTAATAAAACAAATTATGTTGTCAGTGTGTGATACAGATGTGTGGCCGAGCTCACTGCTAGTACCAGACGATGCAATGCTTAGGAAGCTTTGGTCATGAAGCAACGGATTAAGTCATCTGGAGTAGTAAAGCATGGTGTTTTGTTGTTTGGGTTTTCTAATTCTTGGGAGGACAGGATAAAGCATCCCTCAGGTGCCTGGAGTTCCTAGAATTGTTGGAAGACAGTTCAGAGGGTAGATTGGCAGGAACATTGTACTGTTGAGGCTCAAGGAGTTCAGTTTGGTGCAGCAAATGGAAAATTTGACTGAATGGTTATTTAACCTTTGCACAGGCTTCCTAGTCATGTGGAAAAGATGCTCTAGTGCAATGATCATTTTGGCAAAAGAGACTGTGGACTTTTTAGCATAACTGGCACTTTTCCAAAAGGTGTAGTTTATTTCTTTTGAGGACAGAATTCCCATGACTTGCACATATAGAGGTTAGGTTGGGTGACCATGGCCTTCAAGCCAAGCCTGAAACCGGTGGTATCTTCTGTCATTTCATTGGCAAACATGCTATCTGCAAGATTTTTGAAAGTAAAAAAAAGAACAGAATAATCTGACACTGCCTTGTAACCAGCATATACTACAGCCAGGCCTTAAAACCAAACCAAAACACTAACGTTCTCCACCACTAGTGTAAAGCAATTATCAGTATTATCTTCTGTGTGAATTTTGGAACACTGGTTAGAATATAAATAAGCACTAGAACCGAAGGTGGATACATTATCTTCTTTTAAGAGTTTTGTGAGTGCTTTTAATCTGTATATGCAGTGAATGCAAAATTAATACAAATAATATATAATATAATAATATTAATATTAGTTATAATTATTATTTTTGTACAAATTAAATATAAGTAGTATAGAAGAGGATAAACTCATTATTGCCAAAATATTATCTTATTTTAATTTTAAGATCATTTAAGACTTTGGCTGCAAGGAGGATTTTTTGCCTCCTAGAATCTGAAGTGTTATTTACTCTCTCCCTAAGCAGCTAGTTACAGGTCACTGTTCAGTCACCTGCTCCTAGTATCTCACTGCGTGGAACTAATACCATGCAAAGAGGTGGTAACTTGTGTCTAGTCAAGCCAAGTGGTTGTTGTCTTGTTCATTCATTGTAAAGTCATATTCATAAAGACAGGCTCTCTCTGGGTATTTATGTTCAGTTGCTTCTCTAACGTAGACCCTAAAACTTGGTAGTGTTGCCTTTTTTTCCCATGATGTCTTTGAATTTTTTGTGAATTGAGTTCAGTATTGGACATTTAATTATTTTATCTAGTACTGGTGTAAGGATGGCTGACCAGTAGTTCTGCAAAAACTTCCATGCTGCACTTAAAGTTCTTTCTCTTCTGCAACTTCTCTCATACTCAAAGAACTATGTAGAATTAATATTACCAAGCCAGGTATCATAATTCAATATATTTAGAACTCTTAAAGCCAAATTAACTTGCCTGTTGGTTTAAGGATTTGTGCTGCTTGATTTGTTTTATTCTAGCTTTTGTATTCGGTTGCTTCTATCATTAGGAAGCCATCATCTCTGCAGCTGACATTTTTTAGGCTTGTTCTTTGCTGTAAAACGGGTGTTTTTGTTGGGTGTTTTTATTATTTGGATAAAGTTGGTTTGGCCGTTTTCAAGCACGAATAAAATGAATAAATGTTTTCCCATTCTAAGGTTCCTGACTTTTTCATGCAATTTTAAATGTAAATAGGCAAAATATGATGGAAATAGTTGAAATAGAGTAAATATTTTTCAGAGGATCTAACTGTTCTTGGTAAGAGCTTCTTTACTGATAAAAATGTGAATTCAGACTTTACCAAGCATAAGCAAGTGCTAGACAGAATAAAGAGCAATGCCCTGAGAAATCTCAATGTGACTATTGGTAAGGAAAGATCGAATGTCTGTTTGTTTTTGTAATGAGATCCTCAGTTGATCAGTTCTCATTCTAGCAGTGCTTGATGTTTTCATCAGTAATCCCATCTGGAAAAAATCCTAGGTTGGAGAGAAATAATAATGGATTGGTTACTTCTAGAGAACAATCTGGATCGCCTGATTTAAATGGCCAGAGGCCAACAAAATATATGAAATAAGACATCTGGGAGGAACAAATGCAGATTATACCTTCAAGATAGAAAAAACTCTGTCTTGGAAACAGACACAGAGAAATCTTAATGTAATCTCAACAAAATACAGCTTAAATACTATTTCAAGTTCATACGTACAGAAATAAGTTGAGAAATTTTGTGTGAAGTACTGAATTAAAATTAAAAACCACAACCCAGGACTTCTAGAATACTGTGTCCAGTTTTGGTGGTAAAGTCTGAGAAGGGAGGGGAAATAAGAGGTGGAAGGAAAGCCACAAAAATGAACAAGGACTTGCTCAAACTGTAAAGTAAACAAGACTCATAGAAATAAGTCATCTTTCTGAAGCAGGAGTTGTATCCAAATGAAGTGAATAGGAAAGAGCATTAACTTTGGCAAGTTAAACATAAACTATAATGAGGTAGTCCAAAAAAAATGTTGAGGAACAACTTCATGAAGGCATTAGAAAAATAATAAAGCTTTTTGTGTAAGTGTCAAAAGCAGAAAGCCTGTCAGGGATGCTGACAGGCTGATAGTATGTTCATAATGTTACATGTGAGCTAAGGGAAGGTAAAGCCATAGCTGAGATGTTATTTGCATTGCTATTCACTGCAAAACAGTTCCCCTGTGGAGCCTTCCTTTCCAGGGGACAGGCTGGGGGAAGCTGACAGAAGGCTGACGTTTTGGAGTGAATCGGCACAATGAATTGCTAGGGAAAGTTCTCACTTTGTGAAGAAGTTGCTGAGTTACACACAGTTGTGTATAATCATTGCTAAATTGGCCTTAGAATGGAAGAATGAAAGGCAGTAAACGTGCTGGGCTTTTCAAGAAGGGCCTGTGGAGCATTTGGGAAACTGGAAACTAATAGTGAGCCTGGTTTCTGTATTGGGCACCTCTTAGAACCTATAAAGAATAGAATTAGTGTTAGTTCACAGGCAGAAAAGGTGATGCTAGAGAGGAGAGAAAGTTGTCTTCTGCAGTAGGAACTCCTGCCCTGTAAATCTGCTTGTGTTGTTTGAATGAATGGATGAGCATTTGATAAAGATGGTTGAAGTAACGCAGTATGTCTGGATTTCTTTGGAAAAAACCCAAAGCAAAACAACCACACACCACACCCCCAAACAAACAATAAACCCTAAAACCAACCAAATACTTGGTTTTTCAAAGATTTTTGGAAAATTAAACTGGTGTAGTGATTAGTAGTGACTAGGTAAAGATTGGAAACTATGGAAAAAGAAGGTTGGACTGTACAGGGGTGTTACCCTTGGAGTTGTCTGGGGAAAGTGTTCTGAGATCTCTGCTGTTCCAAGTGCTCATAACTATCTGGAGTGGAGGATGAATAATAAAGCACTGACACATTTTTTCAGGTAGCAAGACCAAGAGCTGACTGTGAGGAATGTCAGAGGGATCTCACAGTGATAAGTGATGGGGCAGGAAAATCACAGGCCAAATTCAGTTCTGATACAAGATCGTGTTTGTTGAAAAGATTGATCTGACAGTGTATACCTAATGATGGACTTAGCTATGCCTTGCAAATTGGGCAAGAGATCTTGGAATTACTGTGGAGGGTTCTGGAACTTACCGACAAGGGATGGTTAAAAGACTGTGGACATATTAGGAGATAAGTGCAGAAAACCCAAGAATATGTTATGGCACTGTGTGAATACTCTTTGTGCCTCTATCTTCGATAACACATCTAATTATCTTCAACTAATTTTGAAACAGATCTAGAAGAATTAGGTATACATAGTGGTAATAAAGTTGAAATAAAAACATGGAGCTATTGCCAAGTTCAGAAAGATTGAATAGACCTAGACTTTCCAGTGTGAGGTAGATCATGCCGAGAGTATTTACAAGTCTGTGTAACATAGTGAATGACATGGTTTAACAAGATCTGGAGGTATTAAATGCAAATTATGTGCACCAGGTTTAAAATAAAGGTAAGTGCTATTTCATGCTTTCCAGTTAATTTTTTTCCTGAGAATATTCTTCCATAGTGGGCAAAAGATTTAAAAACAAATAAATAAAAAGACTGACAGCTTCTATTATTGACTGTAAGTATTCAGCAACAGGCGTGGAAGTCTCTAAGTTGCAGGAGCTGGAACCTAAATGGATGTTGAGGGCAGAGTGTTGATTTATGTATTCTGTTTCTTAGGCTTTTTACTGAAGTATTGGCCAACGGACACAGACATCGAGCATTGGGCAAAATGGATGTCTGGTCTAATCCATTGTGCCCATGCCTGTGTTTTCTGGTTTGTTTAAAGATTATGTACTAAAGGCAGAGTGACATAGCTTTAGAAAAACATGCTGTAATCTGAGTCATGACAGCAGCTCCCCACCAAGAGACATGGATGCATCATCTCGGTGCTCTACCTTGGTGTAGGGGTGCCCAACTGGGCTGCATCTGCTGCTCACTGTAAATGAAGGAGTTATCTAATTTGTCACTTTCTGGGACAATATGATTCTGCCTCTTGCAAACCTCCCAACAGCAATAATGACTCAAAATGTCCCAAGTAAGGTTACTGATTTCAGAATGATACAAAGGAAATGACAAGCATCTCTCGTAAAATGGCATCAATAGGTCAGTGAATTAGACTACTATGTTCAGTGAATTACACTACTTTAGTAGGTCTGAGGTCACCTACAAGT